TATGAACTTCTTAAATTAACAGGTGCAGAACTTATTCACTTTCAACGAAACAAATGAGTTAATACTCAAAGAAATATAACAAATATATTGTGCAGGAGACTTTAGCAAAGTGAAGATCACAGACATCAGTAGAGCAGAAGTAGTACTGTGCAGTACTGGCCTGCTGTTCTCTCTAAGTGTACTTCTTGTCCCTCCGTGCAGCACTGAGGAGCTGTTTCTCTCTCTGAATGAGCTCCAGAGCACCTGTTCCCGCTGTCATTTTGGAAAAGATCCCTTCCACATAACCGGGGGATGCTGGGATGCTTAGGATGTGGCTGATGCTGGTCAGCATGTTAGGCAGGTCAGCTGCTTGAAAGAGCTTCCATCCATTCTCTGCACCTTCCCTGAGGCCTCTCAGAATGCATTCATCATGAAGCTCATCCACGTTGACTTTTAGGACGAGGTTGAGCTCAGCAGTGATCCTCTCTGTGTCGCTGAAGGAAAGCGTGGCATGGTGCAGAGGGAGAGGTTGCAGGGAGAGCAGCCAGTTGTCCTGTTCTGTCGTTGTTACAGCTGAGGTTATGTTTAACCGTGTGGTCCACCTGCGTTTACTCCGCTGCTGTAAATAGAGGGGAGGAGTAAGATTAGAAGTTGAAACAGTGGGATCTTTTTAGTTTTTATTATTGCTAAGAAATCTATTTATTTATTCAGACCTGTTCTATAGTATTAAAGGAGGAAATTCTCTAGATTTGTTAAGCAGAACAGTTATTTTCGTCACACATGCACATAATTAAATATGGATTAAATACACCTCTCTCTTATTTCTTATTGAATGAATGCATGTGTCTGACTGTGTACCTCAGCCGTAATAAACAAATCATAGCATAATGTGGGACAGAATTCATTATTTCACGTGATCCATCACAACATTATCGAGGTGATTAAAAAGTGTCATTACACCATCTGCTGCGGGAGATGCGTGAGGTATGAAGAACTGGGAGACGTGCTTTGATTTCTCTCTGAGCTCTAGCATTGCGGAAGTGTTGCAAACTAAGTATTACGCAACCAGGGCTAGAAGAGGCCGAGTCTTCACAGAATGGGGGGGGAATGATTTGCATGGGATGATGCGTTTAAGACAGCTGGCAAATACGGAACAAACCCCGCCCCGTATTGATTCAGAACTGGAAGCCTATTTATTTCTTAAATACGGATCGATTCCGTATTTTAAGGGACGGGGGGGAACCACATTTTTTGTGTATCTCATCGTCACCCTGCTGCATGTTGTCACTGGCCATACTTGAGGTTTGGCTGCAGAGGACAAAACATCGGGCTCTGGTGGAGGAACTCATTCAGGTGGTCTGGCAGCTTTTCCAGGTACATTTATTCCTTTTTTCTTCTTCATATTAAACCGATAAATGAGCATGCAGACAGCTGTGGGTTGTAGGTGGACAGAATAGTGAGGTTAAACCCGTTAGGCTTTATTTCCTTTGTTCACTCTCTTCCCTTAAAATCAGAGGCGGAAAGTAACAAAGGACAGTTTTTACAGCAAGACTCGAACCCTTTCCTTAGATACAGCCGTCACTGTAAATCCAGATGTTGACGCTTCAAACTCTGGGAAAAGCAGTCAACAGCAGAAAAAACCTCTTCACGGCCCTGTTAAGACTCCAGAAAGCTGGAACAGCGGAGAAACCCCTTTTTCCACTCGGCCCTGTTTAGACCCCAAAAGGAATTAAAACAGCGGAGAGGATGGGCAGTAATTCTGCAATGGTGCAATCAAAACAGCAATCTAAGCTGAAAGTATAAAAACCAAAGAAAAACAAATGCAACTTTGTAGTTTATTTCAGGCACCCGCCGTTTTTAAGGACAACGTAGGTCCAAGTCTTGTTGAGATGGTAGTGGTCCGGGACGCGGACGGTCGACCCTCCCGTCTCTAAGTTTGCGAGGTGGAGGCTGGGACACTTTTTCTTCCAGGATGAGCAGTCGCCGGCCGTCTCAGGTCCCAGACGAAGTCCGCCAAACCTTCCCACTTCTGACACCAAGTGAAATGGAAATTAAACCTCAAGTGAGTCTTCTGAAATAAAGAATTCAGTCCTGACGTCTTTTAAGTGTTTTATTCTTCGCAAAGGGTCAGACAGACATGCAGAGTGTAAGACAAAGAGCCTTTCTATTACTCAGCTATGTTAGGGAGGAGGGAGGAGGGAGCAGGGACCAACTGTCCTGGGATGCAGGGGTGCCCCCAGAAAACTTTCCTAGGGGGGCCACTGAAAATCCTGGGGTGGAACACTAAACCAAAAGCCATAAATTCTATTATGGACTATATAGACTAGTTGAATACTACGTAAAAATATGAGTTAAGGAATCACAGACTGAATTACTTTGGTTTCTTATTTTACAGTGAATGTTACTAGTTGTCTGATGTCCGTAGACTAAAACCAGTTCAATTAACAGTCCAGAAAAATCCTGTTTCATGTATTATCTCTATGTGTTCTGCAATTCATTGTTCTTTGAATGGGCTAGTTGA